CACCCCCACCCCACCCCACAGAGCGGGCGGGGGGGGTGAAGTGTGGGGGTGATGGACTCCCAACACATTTTAAAGCTGCCAAGGTTGAGGAACACTGCCCTAGGGGAATGAACAATCGGGGGGGGGGGGGCCTTAGATGAACTGGCTGGCTGGGGAATTCTGGGAGTTGAAGTCCACACATCTTAAAGCTGCCAAGGTTGAGGAACACTGCCCTAGGGGAATGAACAATCGGGGGGGGGGGACTTAGATGAACTGGCTGGCTGGGGAATTTTGGGAGGTGAAGTCCACATGTCTTCAAGCTGCTAAGGTTGAGAAACACTGCTCTAATGCCATGCTGCAACTTCTATAACAAGTTCTGGTGAGTCCACTAGGGAAGTCGAACTGATATCTATGAACATGGATGTGTGGTTTTCAAGCATTTTCTCCTTAGGAGATGCCAGGCTATAGCTATCCTATAGAAGATTAAAGTGGGGATAGGGGGGGACATGGAAACCAGCAGGAAGAAGGTGACCTGGCATTTTAAAGCTAAAGTAAAATTTAGCCCTCTACCCCACCTAGAAGCTTGGGGGGATTTTCTGCCCTGAATTTACTCTGCAGGAATGCACATTTGTTATTGAAAATTGCAGGTTGGTTTCCTAAGACGCATGCTGCGTTTAAAGAGAGAGCTCGGCATGATCAGCCTTGGAAAAAAAAATGACCCGGTTTTCTGGAGCCAAGTTTCAGTGCAGAAAGTCTCTGATTCCGTATTCAGCACCTCAAGGCAGAATAAGGGAAAACCAGGGGAAATGGGTCCCCATCAGCATTTAACCCTTGTATTAAACAAAACCTGTTTGCCCTGAATGCTCCAACAGCCTCTTAATTGCTTTATTTCAAATGCATGGGCTGCATTCACACCATGCTTAACTAGGTCACTTGATCTGCACAACCTCCTTAGCAAAGCATATTAACTTTGTATTCCTGTTAACCTTCACTTCAACTAACCTGGGGGCAAACCCACATCCTTTGGCCAGTTTACAGCTCTGCATTGCATACATCCAGAAAATGAGTTCCTTCAATCACCGGGGGAAGCAACTTGTGTGAACGCTCCCCAGTGAGAGCCATTTGAAAAACCCAAGCTAAGCTTTTAGGCCAACCCTGATGGGGCCTTAGAGACACCAGGGTGGAAAATTCAGGAACTTATTTGCAGAAAGGGCTTACCCACTTGTGTTTGCTTGCCTTGCAGATGGCAGAAGATGGCATTGTTTCCAATACCTTCACCCACAAGTGCCAGCTGCCAGCAGACATGGATCCTCTGTCCGTCAGTTGCTCCTTGAACGATGGCAAGTTGATCATCACGGCTAGGAGGCAACTACTGTCCCCATCACCTCTGTATCGTACGGAGGTGAAGCTCTAAGTGTACCCCTCTCCCCCAAGATAGTGCAGCAGCCCCCCTAGATGTGATTGATTCTTACTTCGATTTGTGGGCATCCCTTCTGCCACACCATGCCAGACCATACACCACGTGTAGGTGCTGGCCTTCCTTCCTTCCCCTTAGATTCCCCTTCTGTTGGGTAGAAGGGAAAACTCTATGTGCAGACAGAGAGAGAGACAGACAGAGAAAATGGTCCATGGGCTGGCTATGAAATGACTGAGATCCTCCATCGTTGGCAGATGCAACACAACCGCTTCTAAGGAAAACATGTCCTGAGATCTGGAAGCTCCAAGCTTGGGGGGCATTTGAAATTTGGACAATATCTTACAGTAAAAATATGAGAACAGGGTTGCAGCAACTTGGATGATGAGGTGACAGGAAAGAGAACACTTTCGTGTCACCTGGAGGGATCTGGATGATAACCTGGCCTTAGCAGTGTTTCTCAACCTTGACAACTTGAAGATGTGTGGACTTCAACTCCCAGAATTCCCC